CTCAGCCTAGCATCACCTGGTCCTTTGGGACTAGAAGTCCCAGGATGCCTGACCAACAGCAGGCTACAATGGTGTGCCAGGCATTTGAGAGCCAGAACGGTATGTTACCGATTTTCTGCTTACAACCATTTCATTCATACGACAAATGTATAGAATCAATCTCTGTTCATAATCCTGGCTTCAACCTTGACAGGTTGTTTTGGTTTTTTTTAGTGCCAACATGTTGATTTTTTTTACATGCTGTGAGCATGAGTTCTGTATCATGGCTACTCTGACTGATAATAGCTGATATTGAGAAGGCAGAACAAAGAAATCTTTCATCAAATAAAGGAATGTGCATATACAAAGTAAGTGAGCCTGTGATGGGGGAAAAGACCTTTGATAGAAACGTGGGCTATGTGCAGTAGTTTGAGTAAGAGGCATGAAAGCTCTTGGGGCGTGGACAGTTAAGCTGCTGCATCTGCAAGGAAAACATAGCATTCCGTAAAGCTAACCCTCCTCCCTTGGGTTCCTACTGAATGCCTGAGAGATGAGAGCATGGGGTGTCTCCACAAGACTAATGCTAAACATGAGCAGTCTGGCATAGAGGGAGCACTACAGCAAGTGAGAGTTGGGTTTTGATCACTGAAAACTTTTGCCTCAGCAATTATACTGAGTACACTACAAAGAAATGTGTGTGATGTTGTATTGGTAAATATAACCAGAACTTTGTAGGACATGTAAAAAGACAACTTCCCTTCACGGAAAGAAGAACCAATCTGCCTCAGACAAAGGGCAGTTGTTGGAGTGTGTCACAGGGTGACTGGCCCTTTCAGGAGTCCTGCTTTCAGCCTCACTTGTGTCTAGTTTACCTCTCAGTCCAGGAGTCAAGTGATGGGGGGCATGTGACTAAAAACAAGGCTTGCTGGGGGATATAAGGGCACCCTGAGTTGTCTTAAGGGATATACTTAAAGAAGATGGTTGGTTGTATGACTTGCTCCTTACAGAAGATGCGGGGAATGTAAGTTTGTACGAGGTATGAGTGGTGGAGCATGTGCCTACCAGCCAGCCAAGATAAAGGTCTCAGTAGGGACTGGGTTAAGAATACAAGTACTCCTTTTCTTTTTATATCTAGGGCTGTGTCCCAGCAGGAAGCTAGGTGGAAGTGATCTTGCTTTGAAGTTTATCAGACTCCCAGAAAGGGAGGATTATTGTGAACCCCTACAAAGTGAAGTTTGATTAATTGGAGAAGGGAAACTGAGGCAGTAAAGGTACCCAGAGACAGAGTGGGTAAAGTATCTGTTACACATAAGATGTCACAAAGATGTTGAAGAGGGACGATGAATCAGAGAGAGGCAAGAAGTCTGACTCCTGGGAAGTCGGAAGGCATTTCAAGCATTAGGAAGGTGGTGTAATTCTATTAATAACTCCTAAAATAGTAATATTTACAGGGGTGTTTTCACATAAGACTCTCATAGTACTTTCATGTACAGTACTACAGGCATACATCACCACTGAAATATGGCCACCTCTTGGTTGGAATGCAACAACCAGGTAGTGCACAGAATGCTGTGAAACACTGGAGAGAGGGAAGCTTTGGCCAAGACACAAAACCGCACGGAATCTCCCAAAGATACATAAAGCTGAAAAGATCTGTTTTTAAGGTCTCGTATAAAAGAGCCACATGTGCTAAACTGTACAGTATTCCATTTCTCTACTGCAGAAGAACCAAAGGTGAGCTACTGTTGCTGAATGTTATGGAGAAATGCCACAGAGCTGAGTGTAGGACCTTGCAAGCTCAGTCAATAATATTTACTTACATTCATTCTCAAGTGTGCAAGTCAACATTTGTTAATGTTTGCAAGGAGAGAAAATCCTTGGCTTGAATGTGTAATAAAAGGGTAAAGCATTACACATATTCAATTGTTATACTCATTCTGTTCATAATAATGGGAAGAACGTGATGACCTTGATGGCTTGTCAGAACCCAGGTTTACTAGTTTTGGCTCACTCTGCAAGGCTTTTGTGTGTCATCATTCCTTTAATTTTAGTATTCCTTCTCCTGGTTGGAGGTTTACACTAGGTGGGACACTGATGTTTCAGTGACTCAACATCCAGTGACTTTGGGGGAACATATTGTGACAAATGTGGTAAGTGCTCAGTTGCAGATCTGCTAGGTACCATACAAGACAATCAATTCTGTTTAGGAGTTTTGTTCTCACATAAAAGGACTAAACCAGATTAAATCTTGTTTTTATCATACTCATGCTAATTGGGGGTCAAAGCATCACATCTTTAATCCTGCAATTAGCTCTGTGCAGACCAAAGTGCCTGTCTCTGTGGATGTGATAGCTGGGTCTGTGGGAAGGGTATTTGGAATATTCAGAAATTAGAAAACTGATATGCTCTGAAAGATGCTAATGATTTATAATGGATTAAACCCACTCCTGCCTTGTATTTATGGAAGCTGTTATTCGTAGGAATGATGTAGCTATGTCAGTTAATGGATGTGACATCCCAACACAGTGACAGCTTGTCAATGACACAGGAGGGTGAGTGTGTGATAAGTAGACAGGAAAAGGAGGAAAGAATGGGAGAGATGCCCTGCCCTTTCATTTCAGTCCTCATTCCTATAACACCCTGCTCAGTCCATGATCCTGAGTCGCTGATGATGAGCAGAACCAGATCATCAAAATCATTGTGGTTTGTGCCACAGACGTTAAAACAACCACAAGAGTGAATGAGGGAATCATGTTCATTTTCCATTGGGCCAGAGAGGAGGTGAACCCATCCCTCTAGATCTGAGAAGCCCGGCAGAGACCTTCTCCCCAGCTGAAAAGTAAATCTCCTGGGGCAGGAGCATTGCAACCCGTGGACAAGGGAAGTGTCTGAATCTGAAGTATGTAACAATGCGTGTTTTATACACTGGAAGAAAAACAAGCCACAGCTGAACCGCTTTACACAAGCTGTTAGGAAGTACGAGGCAAGAAGATCCTTGACAGCTCTTATGCGCCCTCTGTTGTCTCCCTCCAAGCAGTATGGGAGATTTTACTTTTATGTGGCAGGTGCTCTCACTGTAGATCCCAAAGCATTTTAAGAACCAGGCCTTAGTGCCCTACAAAAACTGCTCCTGTTTAAAAGTGTTTTTTTTAAAATCACATTTAAATGGTGCAAACCCCCTTGTGAACACAATTAAATTGCTATAAGCCAGTTACAAACAGATCTAGCTTAAGTTGGTCAGTTACCAAATTAAGCTAAATTGATAGTTGTATACATACAGACACTGAATGCAGCTCCCTCTGAGGTACCAGTCTCCTGCTGCAGTCTTAGCTTCCTCCCATGACATTTTGATAGCTTTTTCAATTCTGCTTCTGTTGTGCACTTCCATGTTAACCTTGGTCTACCTCATTGCCTCTTGCCCCGGGGGGTTCCTGTCCAATGCCTGTCTTGCTGTTATTCAGGTCTTTACTCCATGTGTGTCCTAGCCATCTCCATTTTATTTCCATAATTTCCTGTCCTACCAGTTTGTTTCATACATAATTCTTTGTCATTTTATTTTCTAGCCATCTGATACCGAGGACTTTCTGAGGCAGCTATTTATGAAAACTTGGAGTTTAGATAGTAAGATCTTAATAAGCCTCCAAGTTTCAGTGCCATATAGTAATAACTTTACAACATAAAAATATTTGAAGTGTAGTTTGGAGGCAGGATTTCTGTTTCTCCAGATCAGCTACAGAGGAATGTCAGGCTTCTGCTAAAAGTCTGTTTTATTAATCTCTCCACATATGGCAGCGATTCCATACCCCTAATCATTTTTGTTGCCCTTTTCTGAACCTTTTCCAATTCTAATATATCTTTTTTGAGATGGAGCGACCACATCTGTACACAGTATTCAAGATGTGGGCGTATCATGGATTTATATAGAGGCAGTATGATATTTTCTATCTTACTTCTATCCCTTTCTTAATGATTTCCAACATTCTGGTCGCTTTTTTGACAGCTGCTGTACATTGAGTGGATGTTTTCAGAGAACTATCCACAGTGACTCCAAGATCTCTTTCTTGAGTGGTAACAGCTAATTTAGACCCCATCATTTTATAGGTATAGTTGGGATTATGTTTTCCAATGTGCATTGCTTTGCATTTATCAACATTGACTTTCATCTGCCATTTTGTTGTCCAGTCACCCAGTTTTGAGAGATCTTTTTCTAGCTCTTTGCAGTCTGCCTGGGACTTAACTATCTTGATTAGTTTTGTATCATCTGCAAATGTAGCCACCTCACTGTTTAACCCTTTTTCCAGATCATTTAGGAATACGTTGAACCATACTGATCCCAGTACAGACCCCCTGGGGGACACCACTGTTTACCTCTCTCCATTCTGAAAACTGACCATTTATACCTACCCTTTGTTTCCTATCTTTTAACCAGTGACTTTGATCCAGGAGAGCACCTTCCCTCTTATCCAACAACAGCTTACTTTGCTTAAGAGCCTTTGGGGAGGGGCCTTGTCAAAGGCTTTCTTAAAATCTAGGTACGCTACAGCCACTTTTCAGAGTTAGCAGCCGTGTTAGTCTCTATCCACAAAAAGAACAGGAGGACTTGTGGCACCTTCGAGACTAACAAATTTATTTGAGCATCAGCTTCGGTGGGCTACAGCCCACTTCATCACCGGACCCCAAATCACATTCATCCACCGGTCTGACAGGTCTGCTCTTTACTAGGTTCAACCACTTTGCCGGGCACTGAAGTCAGGCTTGCTGGATCCGCCTCAGACTCAGTCCGGCCCTCCACCCGCCCAGTCGCTACCCGACCCTGGATCCAGACCCGGCCCGGGATCTGCCCCCTCCCCTGACTGGGGCCCGCCCAGGTTTCGAATCTGCCGCTCCCAAAGCGAGGGGCCCAGAGCTCGGCCCCGCCCCCCCCCTCCCCCTCCCGCCCAGCCGGAGCACCTGACTCCTCCCATTTCTCCCCGGATGTAGGAGTCCTGCGCATCCGCCTGCGCGAGGCCCCGCCTAGGCAGCCCCTGGGACCCGGAAGTGGCGCGCTGAGGTCCTCGGCCAGCTGCCGCGGAGCCCGAGTCCCGGCTGAGGCGGCGGGAGCAGGAGAGTCCGAGTTCCGGCCGGGCCGCGTCGCGTCCCGCCGCTATGAGCGCGGCCGGGCTGGTGTCTCCCGCGCCCCCGGCCCCTGTCCCGGCGGGGCTGCCCCCCGCCGCGCTGCCCCCCGGCCCCGAGTACTACGAGGAGGAGGAGCTGGAGAGCGCCGAGGAGGAGGACGGCGAGCGCAGCGGCCGGGCCCGGGACTCCGACGAGGGTGAGTGGCTCCCCCCGCCCTCCTCACAGCGGGCAGAGGGAGGCGGGGGGAGGGTCGGGGCGCAGGGGGGAGGGCGAAGTGGGGGAAGGGGGTGGGGTGTACCAGGAGATGGGGTTCAGGTAGTTTGACGGCTTGGCAGGTGGCTAAGCTGCCCGAGGTGGGGAGAGGGTGCCTGGGTGATCCTGGGGAGTAGGAATGTGTGGCAGAGGAAATCCAGGGAGTTACTGCAATAGTGGGAGAGGAGGAAGTTTGGGTGAGGAATTGATTTAACAGCTTGGTGGAGAAGGGAATGAGTTCAGGTGAACTGGGATAAAAAAGGCAGTAGAGAGTGTTTTGGAGAGGAATTTGGAGACTCAGGGGCATGGGTGAGATGAGTTAGATGGAGAAAATGATCCAGGACAAGAGGAAGCTAGCTGCGTTATTGGGATAATGAGATGGGAAAAGAGAAATAGAGAAGTGATGGAAAAGAGAATTGGAAGAGGGACTCCAATATGATCAGAAAAGATACTGGGGTAGAGGAGGGGTTTAATGGGGCACACAGAAGAGGTGGTTGGGGGGAGAGGGATAGTGAAAGGACAAAGTAAGAACATGGCAGTTGGGGTGGCATTTGGCTTTGTTTCAGTGGTATAAAAGTAACAAAAGAAGAGGTGGTGCTCCAGGGGTTGGGAAGAAAGGGTATGGGTGGGGGTACAGAAGGATGAAATTAGGGAGTATAATAAGAGAAATGGGTCATAGAAGGTTAGGGGAGGGACTCTTGGTAGATACAAGGGGAAGAAGAAGGAGGAAGAAATGAGCCATGCACAATGTTGAGAGACACTCTTGGGGTGACAGGGAGGAGATGATGCTGTGAAAGGGAATCATCTGCTTTGTGCTCTCATTTTTTCGTATTTCAGTTTAAGGCGAGTTGCTTTAAGCATCTTTTTGTGGCATATCATGAAAGCATTAGTGCGTTCAAGGCTTTTCTGAAGTCTTGATATCCTGGGGTGGGGAAGGTGAGGGTGTTTTTAAGGACTCTTCATCTTCTCTGAATAGTCCTTCCCTTTTGATGTTTAGAGTTGTCATAAATCATTTTAAACGCACCCAGTGTGGCTAAAATTTATTGTGATGTGTTTGAATTAAAATACCAAGGCTTCCTCAGTTTATCTTAGCAGATGTGGCCCTCTCTAGCATGGTTTGCTGTAGCTATCTCTTTGACTGATACCTTATTTGATACATTGAGTTTTATCTTAACACAAGGAACCTGAAGTGTTTGGTATTTTAAGGAAGAAATCTGAGAAGGGCAGATGGAATTAGAGACTGAAGTTCCAAGTCCACACAATAGCTAATGTACTGGCAGTGCAGGCTTTCCAGCTCTACCCTTCCAATGTGTCTAATCCCTGACTTGACCAGATGAGCTCGAGGAGTGAGACGGTAGTTAACTGTTCCCATTCAGTCTTTAAAGGAGGAGATGTAGAGGAGCTGCAGAGAATTTGTAATGCAGCATTAACCTGTTTTATCAATGTCCGACAAATCTGTGGTAATAGTCTTTCTTATATGTAGATACTGGAGTACACATCTGAGAAGACTAGGTGAAATAACATTACTTTAATTATATCTTCAGTGGGCCCCTTGTTTCTGTTGCAAACTACTGCGGAACTTAGTATAATTATCACTCTGCTTTGTAAAAAGAAAAGGAGTACTTGTGGCACCTTAGAGACTAACCAATTTATTTGAGCATAAGCTTTCGTGAGCTACAGCTCACTTCGTTGATGAAGTGAGCTGTAGCTCACGAAAGCTCATGCTCAAATAAATTGGTTAGTCTCTAAGGTGCCACAAGTACTCCTTTTCTTTTTGCGAATACAGACTACTACGGCTGCTACTCTGAAACTCTGCTTTGTAGTGCTGTAGGTCAAGATAAAGGTGTATTGATACAGTTATATGGGAGTTAAGGATGGAAGCAGCAGGTCAGGGTTAAAGCTATAAGGAGGAAGCCTGCAAAGCACTGTTGGTGCTATGCCTGGTTCAATTAATGATGTCAAGCCCTTGCATTTAAAAGTGCTAAAATAACTTGATTTCATCCAAAAAATGAAATGGAGTGGAGTGGGTGGGAGGAAATCGCAGGGGTATCCTATGTCAAAAACTGATTCTTTTTGATATACTACCAAGGTTCCTTTTAAATGTTTGAGCGCCCATCTTGAACAGCTTATATGTGTAGGAAATGCGTACGATGGTTTGAATCATCTCCAAAATTGGAAATGTCAAAATATATCCTTTCTTTGGCTGCACTAAATTAATTTGGAATAACTGCACGTGTGCCACAATCACTCATTTCTTTAAAAATGATTTGATTTGTTTGGTGTTATCAAATTTCTCTTCCCCTTGTTCAGATACTGAGGATGCTAGTGAAACTGACTTGGCAAAGCATGATGAAGAGGACTATGTAGAAATGAAAGAACAGTAAGTAAGGTCCCCCTTCCTCCTCAACCAAAAACATTTTCTGGCGTCCAAGAGGCTGGTCTACATTACAAAGTTAAGTTGGCTTAAGTACATCACTTGGCTGTGAAAAATTTCATGCCCTGTGTGATGTAATTAAGCCGCCCTAAGCCCTGGTGTAATCGTTGCTATGTCAGTGGAAGAATTCTTCTCTTGATCTAGCTACTGCCTCTTGGAGAGGTGGATTTACTACCATGACGGAAAACCCCTTCCGTCACTGTAGTAAGTATCTACACTACAGCACTACAACGGCGCAGCTGTGCCCACTGTAACATTTCTAGTGTACACATATCCTGAGATTTTTTAACTCTAAGATAGAGGCTGACATTCTGATTGCATAGTGCCTCGCCCAACTGGGATAGGTAACTATATTGGACTCATTAGGATTCTCCTTTGCCCCACATAAAAACTGCTTAACCTGTTCAAGAACCTGCGCACTGGCTGCTCTCCTTCTGGACAAAAAGAGGTGGATGTGACTTTCCTGGAGACATCCAACTATGATCCCTATATTGTCCAGAAGGCCATACTTGGTACCTCCCAAACAAAGAAGACACCCACTTCATGTTCTTGCATAGTACAGTACCAACAACGATAGCCCAGTAAGCCAGACTTTTTGGACTCTCAGAGCCTAGTAAAATAGCTTTTCTTGATCTTTAAATGCAGTGTAGCATTCAGTAGTCTCTCACTTGTTGGCAAAGATGTTTTATGCTTGGCAGGAAGGATGAACTTAGGTTAAAACCACAGATCTTCGAGGCAGGAGATTAAAGTTCTGTTCGTGGCTTTGCCACAGTTTTACTCTTAACTTCTGTTGCATAGGTCTTGGAGAAGACTTACTCTAAAGCCAAGACTCAGAAGGCATGGAAGTAGCCCCTTCCTACAGATGGGGAACTGGGGAACAAAGATTGAGACTTGCCAGAAGTTAAGATGGCAAAATGATTCTGTGGTACTGTTCTTAATATCAGTGGAGCAAAACATCTTGCAACAATTATTTCTGAGGTTCCCAGCATAACCTTTTTTGGTTTATTTTATAATTAAGTGGCAGTACAGATTTTAAATTGAACAATACTCCCTCTTGTAAAAGTCTTTTCAGGAGGACCTCTTTACTTGGTGAGAAAATGAAATGGATTTATTCACCTAAGCAGGTGGTGAAACAAGCAGTGTGGTTGACCTGTTTATGTAATATTGCCCTCTCTTTGCAGGATGTATCAGGACAAACTGGCATCTCTTAAGAGGCAGTTACAGCAATTGCAGGAAGGTAGGGTTTAAAATTAGTAGGTTTTTTTCTGACCATAAAATTTTCAGTTTCTAAAAAGTGTCTAAGTGGAAGCGAGAAATGACAGTAGTAATGTCCTGAAAGTGTTGTCCATAGAAGATGGACACACTGTTTTGTTCTGTGTGCAGTAGAATGAGGGCTTGAAATCATGTTTACATTTTAGTGAAAAAGTCCCTTTCTTCAATACTTTCACTTGTGAGATGGTTTTGCAATTAAATGAGGTGTCGGAAATGTGAGGGCTTGTGTTTCACCTAATTGTGGTAGGGTTTTTAAATGAGATGTACCTCATAGCCCTCTAGAAAAATGTCTCTTGAGACAGTGACCATGAGGAAAAGTTGCTGTTAGAGCTCATGGGTCTTCTCACACAACTTCATTCTTCACTGTTATAGTCCATACTTCCTATGTATCTCCCTTTCTGTATGTGATGTGCCTTTGGCAGCTTCCCACCTTTGAGAGACTGCAGGATACCTCTCACACACTTATGACTCTACTTACAAAACAAATTCAGCCATCTCCTGCCATGCACACAAAGTGGATGGTGCTGCTACATAAATATTCTGGCTGGTTTTTGGGAAGCAGGGTAGCAGTCTTCTCTTTAGGCTTTTTTTCCTCAATAAATGTATACTTTATCTGAAATGCTAAATTTACCTAGAGAGTATGGACTATCTAAGATTCAGTATTAGAAAACAATATGACCTTATGGCAATCTGCAATTTATTTCAATTAGGTACTTTGCAAGAATATCAAAAAAGAATGAAAAAACTGGATCAGCAATACAAGGAACGGATACGGAATGCAGGTGAGCTGGATTTTTGTTTTAAAAAAAATGCATGCAAAGAACCTTTGACTTATGTAGGTGCCTCACAGATGAGAATCACACCCAAGAAACATGACATGGATTCAATCCTAGGAGAACAGGGTTGGCAGGAGCCAAAGATTCTCCAGTCTTTCATTCTTTTTGGTGATGCTAAATGGCTTCTTTGCTGAGTATGCGTAAGGCATAACAGAATCCATCATGCTTTTCTGCAGGTGTATTGGCTAACTATAATATGTTTATCAGTAAACAGCAGTTTTGACTAGGCACTTGTATGCCTACAGTTCAAGTAATAAGATCTCATAGTCTAATATGACCTCTTGTAAATTATAGTATTTAACTTCTTTTAATTGTTCTTTCAATCACCTTCTTTCAAGCCTGCTGCTGTAGTGATTCCTTCCAACAAGAGGGGCATGCAATGGGGGCTAGACAGCTTCCTGAAGAGTTCACTGCTTGTCCTTTGGAATTGGTTAGAGACTTTGCTCTAGGGCAGCTTTGTCCTACGTGACTGTGGGGGCTGGGCTTGCTGCTTGTTAATCACACCGCAGCTTACTGGCCTAGGATCAAAGGACCGAATTAGTCTCCAGGTATCTACTGCTTGACCACGAGGCCAGTAGCCGTGCTACTTTAATTGTGAAGCTGTTGATAGGACGCTCAGTAAATTTTTGTATGTAAAACTTCGTGTATCAAAGCCTGTTAATGTAATTCAAAATTCCCCATAGCGGTTATGGGAAGTTGTCAGGGAAACAGGCTGCCGTACGGTCTTCCATTGTGTGCTTCTAGAGTGAGTAGTTCAGAAATTAAATTAGCTCTTGTTCACTCATTCCTATGTAGCTTTTTATCTTCCACTTAATTAGAGATCCCTTCTCAGAAGGGAATGTGTGGGAGTCAGAAATGAAAATGTAGCAGTGTTCTTCCACCCTTCAGCAGTGAGGGATAAAACCTTGTAATGCTGTACAGATACCTAGGCCATTTTGCACTGCAGCGTGTTTATACTGTGGGTTCTGATATCACTGTTTAAAAGCCACTAACAAATCTCAAGTGAACACTGACCATCATATGAATGGTGCACTACCAATGTTTCTAGGACTGTATTTGTCCCCTCAAAGAATTTGCCAGTGAAACTTGAACTGGACTGATCTCTTCCTTGTGCTCTCTGCAGGAATTTGTCTTCAAGCATAGAAGATGAATTTGATGTAGTTTAGAATTGGACTCCAGTACTATTTTTGTGTTTTTTGTCATCTGTTAACGTCAGACTAAACTGCAGTGTGTACCCTGGGCTGGCAGGGATCAATGAGATCTTTGCTGCAGTGGCAGAGTTCTTCCATTGGGGGACAGATGGTGTTAATTTTCACGCTTGTGGTAAAACTCCTACTGCCAACTACAGCAATATTGGGAAGGGTGGCAACTGAAATTGTGTTCTTGCCCTGTCTGCATTTTTATTTGTCTCTGTCTAATATGTACAAAATTCTCAATTCTTTGGACTTGCTTTTTTTTTTTATTATTTCTGTAAAAGAAGCATTCGTTCCTTATCTAAGCTTTCATTGCAAAGCCCTTAAGAAATCAAGACTGGCCTTAATTGTACAGTTGTCATTTCTGGCCTTGAAACAAATTTTTGTATGCCATCTTGATGTGGCTTCCTGATGCATATAAATTCTTACCTAAAATAGATCACAAATATAATTCTTTAATGCACCTGTTCTGTTCAGAACTTACCTATTGTTCCTAGCTCTTGCTGCTTGCCAGAGGTTGAAGATCACAATTATCAATATTTGATACAGTGAAGTAAGGACTGATCAAGAGCCTTAGTTTACTTTAAGAAAAGGAGTACTTGTGGCACCTTAGAGACTAACCAATTTATTTGAGCATGAGCATGAGCATCTGATGAAGTGAGCTGTAGCTCACGAAAGCTCATGCTCAAATAAATTGGTTAGTCTCTAAGGTGCCACAAGTACTCCTTTTCTTTTTGCGAATACAGACTAACACGGCTGTTCCTCTGAAACCTTAGTTTACTTTGAATTTGTTATCACAGTCTTGAGTAAAATCCTCATTTTGGGACGCACATCCTCCAGTAATCCTGCTCAGTTTGAAGTTGTTGAGAATTTTGCCACTGATTTCATTAAGAGCAGGACTGCTGCACTTATGGGCAATACTCTTCCCTGGCCTCAATGTATGAACTGAATTATGTAATTGAGACAGGATATAGTTTGCTTTATGTGGTGCATTAATATGCTCCTCATCTGCTGTGGGGCAGTTAACCTCATGTCTGTTAACTCAAATTGATGAAAGGGCTTTTCTGCCAAAGAAGTGCTGCTGAAGCAATGACAGCTGGGCCTAGTGAAATCTGTTTAAACCATGGTTCTTTGCAGAACATTCATCTGGCATTGTCAGCTGCATCTTTCAAGTTTTCATTTAATCTGGAAAGCTAAATCTAGTGCCAACTTTTTAAATAGCATCTTAAGCTAGAAAAAATTCCAACTGCCTTTTAAATGCCATTAAACATGGCAGCTTGGCCCAACAGAAATGGATCAGAAATAGGACACTGCTCTACCACCTGTGGTTTAAATGCACCTACAAAATGTCAGCCTATAATATACTTTTACAGAAATTTTGGCACATGTATGCTGGAATCAACAATGTAGAACTATGAAATGTGCATCAGAATGGGATAGGTATGTACCCTGTTTACTCCACCTTTTTTGGCTGCAAAACCGAGTTACTTAGTAAGGCAAGTTGTTGTTGTGTGTCTTGTAAGGATAATAAAGTGATGCTAACTAGACCTGTATTTTTTGTCTTTCAGAACTTTTCCTCCAGCTAGAAGTAAGTGTTCATGTGTTCTTAGCTTCTAGAAATAAAATATCAGTCTGTTTTTTAAGCCTAGTATCTTATCACATGGTAGCTCATGTTCATTTTTTTTTCCAGGAAATCTATGTAGAGGTTTTCTTTATTTAAAATTGATTACCATAGCTGAGATATAGCATAAACTGCCATCAATACCACTACTCAAGTAACTGCTGAAGATGGTTTAAAAAAAAATTAAACAGTCACTAAAAATAGCCATTTGTGGGATTTTTTTTTTTTACATTAGGTATGTATTTTGGTAAATCACTTAACTTGTCTTCCTTCATTTAACCTACCTGCAAAATGGATAAATTATACTAATTGTATAATATTGGGGATTGCTCTGTTAAAGAACTTCGTGATATTTGAGTTAGGTGTTATGAAGCATTACAAAAGAAGATTTATTTAATATGAGTAGCACAACTATTGCCAGTGTAGTCATTTGCTTTATTGTTCATTTTCTTAAGCATTTTTCAACTGGTCATAGAAATGTTGATATACCTTTTAAAATGTAAGCTGACTATGGCTGCTCTACTTCAAAACTAATCAGTCCTTGTTAGCATTAGTTCCCCTTTCCACTTGTAGCGTACATCCTGGTCATTAGGCTTCTCTTCCTTAATCCTCTGTTTCTTTTTGGCTTGCATTAGACAGAGCAGGTGGAGAGAAATTATATCAAAGAGAAGAAGGCAGCAGTGAAGGAGTTCGAAGATAAGAAAATTGAGTTGAAGGAAAATCTGATTGCTGAATTAGAAGAGAAGAAGAAGATGATTGAAAATGAAAAGCTAACCATGGAGCTAACAGGAGGTAAAACAAGATAAGCATCTGTCTCTTCTCTCTCCAAAAATGACACCTAAGCACAGGGGTTCTCAATCTGGGAGTTGGGACCCTCTCAGGGGGTTGTGAGGTTATTACATGGGGGGTCGTGAGCTGTCAGCCTCCACCCGAAACCCCGCTTTGCCTCCAGCATTTCTAATGGTGTTATAAATTAAAAACACTTTTTTAATATATTTAAGGGGGGGGTCACACTCAGCAGCTTGCTATATGAAAGGGGTCACCAGTACACAAGTTTGAGAACCACTGCCTAAGCACTTTTCAGAAAACTTAAGTTTTCTTTCAGTCTCTGATCGGCAATAGGATTCAAAACCTAATTCGTTTCTGAATGCTCAAACTAATGGATCAATATAGTTAAATTTGAGGGCTTTTATAGAGTTTTGTAGAATTATTTGATTGTTTCATGATTTATCTAGAATTGCATTGACTTTGTTCTTGTTTAGCAGAACACGTTGCAAAATTTGACATGTGGTGTTACACTGCTCTTGCTACACTACCATTCCACAGCTTGGATACCTTGTAACTTGATCTGAATGGAGCTTTACTTTGTTTTAGGTAGAGTCTAGGGGTTATTTAACAGAAAATTTAAAAAATCTGGATACTTACAGGGAGAGAATTACAGTTCCTTGTAGCATTTGGTCTACTAGAATGACCAAAGCTATTAAGTTACAAGAGTGACCAGAGCCTATATGGTTCTGCATCTCGTCTGTGTCTCTATTTCTGTATCTAGGGTAAGGTGTGGTTTTTTTTATGTTGTTTTGGGGCAGTGCAGCACTTCTGTAGCTGCCTGGTGAGAATTCTTTCTTGACTATGGAATTCCAGTGATCACCCGCTCTGAAAGGAGCATGTAAAACTTCATAGTTTTATTTCTGTATTGGAACTGGAGCCAGAGACTGGGACTAAGTTTGAGACTTATGGAGAAAAGGGGTGACTGTTTTCCACATGCAACCAGTAGTGTGGTGTAATGCTCAAAAAGGGTAACATTTTTTTCCCCCCTGTAAACTAAAAAACTCCAGTTTGATAGAAAATCTTTTTGCCCAGAATGTGCCACAGTATCCATTTATCCCTTTCTGAGGCTCCTCCCTTTTATTAGTGTAAAGGGCAGATGAGAAATTTTGTTGCACATTATTTGATTTGACAAACTTTCTGCTTATTGGGATGTATGTGAGTGGACTGCGACTTCCTTATTAGAATATTTATATTACCATAGCATTCAACTGCTGTCAAGCAGGACCATGTGACTCAGCCAGTAGCAAAACTTCAGCAGTAGTGTCAGCAGCCAGCTGGCTTCTATAGAAAAAAGCCAAGTTGTTGAAAGGCTCAGTACCTAGAGAAGAAACTTTAATAGGTACTTACAAGATCAAGTTTAACCAGAAATAAATGGGACCGAGGTATAAGAGAGGGAAGTTGGCTCCTTTTAACTTAATTTTTTGCACCTATAAACACTGATGCCTTTGGGCTTCAACATGTAGAAAGGGGAAAACTGCCTGGTTGATTTTGTAGGATTCCTTTGGAACCATGGAATGGTGGACACTAATTCACACTTTGTCTGAAGAGTGAGTCCCTGTGGTTGGCTTTTCAACTTTAATAGCAGCACAGCTTTAAGCTATAGGTCTTAAGTGTCTTTTTTGCATGTTTAAGATGTTTGATCTGGAATAATGGCAACTTATCTGTAAACCTAGTAAAGACCTCATGTATATCCCCGTAGCTTCTCTCATCATTTGCCTGTAGCGTGGTGACAATTGGAGCTAATGCATTAAAACCATCTTTGTTACTGAACTCTTCTAGCGAACACACACCAGATGTTCATGGGTTTTTTCATTAGGCCACTGGGAAATGTCATCTCACGACCTCCCACTCCATCTGCGGGGAAGGGACTACTTCAGTACCTGAAGTCTGGCTGTTCAGCAATGTGGCACATCTCAACAGTTTCTCTATCCAGTCATGCCAGGATTTAATCTGGGTTCTGAGTTCTTTAGTAACAGATGCTAAAGAGGCAAACAATAAAGGTTGAAAAAGGCCATATGAAGCCAGTAAAATAGATAAGGGGAAAATTTCATTTGTGTTCAGACTCTGGAAAATGGGCATTAAGTGGACAGATTTTTTTTTTTTTCATGAAACCAATTGGTATCCTTGATGTAGAAAACATTGCCAAGGCAATAACTGACACAAATGAAGGTAGGTAGAAGGATAATTAGCCTATTTCACAGATGGTGCTATGAGATTGTACCAATGCTCTGGTCTTGCTTTTCTAATGAAGAGCAACTCCGTCACCTTATGGTGTGTCTGAGACAATATTGTGTTAAAAGGTGTCCTTTACAGACCTCCCATCATAGTTTCTGCCCAAGTTTGCAGACGTACGATTTTATTATTGTTTAGGACTAAGAAATGAAGTCTGTGTGGATAGATCTGATGGCTTTGTGTGACCTGCTCAATCTAACATTGGCCATAAGAGCACTTTGTGTCTCATGGTATTTTACTTATTAACTAAATATCTGGATAAAGATCCAAAGTAAGAGAAGCATTTAGACCATAATGCATTTTAAAATTGTTTACCGAAAGACGACACTTTGCTGCTGCTTATACTGTGTGGAAATTCTTTAATTTCCATGCAGCATCTGCTTTGTGTGCTAAGGGTTCCCTTCGTCTCCTATTTGAGTTAGCTTGGTGAATGGTCTAGCTGTAGCATACAGGGAGTGACTCTTACAGCTAAGAAGTTTAGAAAGGATATTGACTTAGCTAGAGGGAAGAGAGGGGAAACTCCTTTTCTAGCTGATCTGGTAAAAGGACCCATGCACATTAGTGTTACCATTAACTGGAAGATTTCATTAATTGTTTTCCCGCTATAATGTAAATTAATTATAATTAAAGAGCTGAATGGATCCCACTCAATAGTAGTAACTTTCTCATGCTTTTAGATTAATATAATCCGTGCCTCAGTGTCCTTTTTAGCTTTTAGTGTTAATACTTGCTAAATTCAGCTTTCAGTCATGGAGATTTCCTTTTGCCATCAACTCGTCAGTGAATGGTACTTTGTATTTTTAGCTTTTATCACAATATTCGTTTCCTTCATGTGCAGCATGGTGACACTCACTGATTTGAGATGAGGGGAGGTTTGATCCCTGTTTTGAACATGCGTAACTGCTCTAAGAGTTCGCATCCTGAGGTAGTCTGGCTTTCAGAGATGGACAGGCAAGCTCTAAGCTGAATATAGCTGTAGGCATATTTAAAGACATGCCTAAATTCTCAGTATATTGAAAGAGCTCTGTATCTGAAAAACGGTTAATAGCTTAAGAACATGTACAAAAAACTTAGCCTGATCCCTTAAACTGTTGAGCTTCTCTCTCCTCTTTAGATTGTCTTGCCGTCCATGTGCTCTCGTGATTGTATTAGACACCCAAGTTATGCAGTGTGAAACCGTATGTCCTTTGGACATTTGAAGGCAGGCAGCATGGACTGTATGGACTGTCTGCCCTTTAGAAGATGGGTTTACATGTCACTTGATACATTTCTCCATTGTTGCACAAACTTTTCACTTTTAGGTTCATTAGCCTAAGTAGACCAAGGAAGTTTTTTTCTTTCTTTCTTTCTTTTTCTTTCTGTGATGTGGTTGAGCACCGGGTTCCAATAGGAGTGTCTTTGTAACAGCAATGGTAACTGGATCTGCATGAACATCTGTGCAGTTCATCTGCTTACATATAATTGGTCAACGTTTGCATGTGGTGAAAACAAGTGAGCGGTTTGGTACCATACCATGCTCCTGTCCCATCCCAGAGTTTGTTGCGCAGTATTTGAAATCTTAAGTACTACTGCTAGGCACTTTGGTGTCCCTAGCTTCTGTTATGGTGTCCCTAGCCTCTGTTTGCCAGAAGCTGGGGTTGGGTGACAAGGCATGGATCACTTGATGATAACCTGTCTGTTCATTCCCTTTGGGGCACCTGCCATTGGTCACTGTCAGAAGACAGGATACTGGGCTTGATGGACCTTGGTCTGACCCAGTATGGCTGTTCTTATGTTCTTGGCTGAGCTTTTCAGAGATGACTAGGGGATTTTGCACCACAGTTCTCATGAATGTTAATGAAATGGTGGTTAAATCCTCTAGTTGGTTTTGAAAACCTTGGCCTCTATGTTGAAAACTGCTTAGTACTTAACAAAAGAATTAGACGTGTTGGATTAGAGTTTGAGAGATTTGTTAATGTTTTAACTTGATTTTTCCCAACCCTTTCCCTTTTATTTTGTGTATTTTGCTATCCAATAATAGGCTGACATACTCATTACTTTGATTTAAGAATAAAAGTGGGCTGTCATTTTACTTAGTTTTTATTGCGCTTCTATTTCAGAGGCAATAGTATGGACTCTTTTCCCGTTTGAATATGTCTGTCCTTGGGCTGAAGTTTAGCATGTTAATTTCAGCTGTATATGCTTATGGGCTGTGTAATTGGATTCCGTTTTTAGAGACACTGTCTAGGTACACCAGAGAGCACTGAATGTGGAGTAGTCTGCTTTTTGTGTGGGCTGCACAGTGTATTTTGTGGTTGGTGAGAGATCTCACTCGGTACAAAATACTTGTGTAAATTTTTTTTTTTTTTTCGTTTGGGTGGGTTGGGGATGAAAAGGAGCCTCACTTCCACCTTGGTATGCTGAGGGCTTTTCTGTTCTTTCTGCTTTGCTGACTTCAACCTTTGTTACTAATTTGGAATTGTAAGTACCATTTTCCAGTAAGAGAACTGGCTGAGTTTCCATTTAGAAACAGTCAACATCAGCCATTAATTGGCAAAACAAACCGCTCTTAAAATCCTTCAGCAATATAGCCTTTCTCAGGAGGGAAGTTTATTTCTCTATTACATTCTCCTTTGTTCTGACTTGGGGCATCTTTATAAAATGACTTCTGTGTGGGGTCGTCTGGATTCAACAGATCAACAAAGAATAGTCGTGGACTCAGCCAAATCTCAGCTCAAGTAGTTACTCAGCTACCTAAAATTCTCCTTGCCGTTTCAATTGGGTATGGGTGTTTTTTCCAACTTTTTGTGCTAAAATGGTTCTGTTCCATTGCCGTGTGCTGTTAAACAGCTGCTATGACTCACTCAAGAGGTGGCTGCGTGGCTGTGGTAGATGAAGAAAACTTTGTATATAGTTTGTGATCCTCTGGGATTAAATGTGTTCTGTGAATTTAAGACCAATTCAGTAGAAATTTGGCTCAATCAGTAGAGTTGCGGCACTAAAAAGCTACATTATAGCAGCCTCTCATATACTGCATCTCTTTACATCTCCAATATACCTTAGTGGTAAAAATTGTTATTGGCAAAGTGACTTGTCTGTATTTGAGGCTGATGGCTTGCAAACTTGTGTTTTTAAAAAAATCTACCAGGCTTTATTGTTAGTGCAAAAATATTTATAAACCAAACCCTTTATACATTCCAGTTAAATCTGGACAAACAGATGTTTGATATTAATATCTCCAGAACGTATATATGTGCTGAGACTTTAAAGTAGCATCTTTCTGTAATTAGCTGTAAAACCCTGAAAATATGGTTGTATCACGTGGAGGTGGCATAGCTGTATCCTGACATCCATAATGCTGTATTTAACTCAGTAATCAAGAATTTTGGGGTTTTTGTTAATTCACTGCCACCAGTTTCAGCGTTTGCCAGTGATGGTAACTAATGTTGAAAAATATAGTTCTCTATGTGAAGAAAGAAAGATGATTCTTCCTGCTGCCTTTCTCATCTCCCCATCATTCTTCAAAATCTTCTGTGGTCTTATCAGCTGTCCAACTTCATTATTCTGCAGATTCCATGGAAGTGAAACCTATCATGACAAGGAAATTGAGAAGGAGGCCAAATGACCCTGTTCCGATCCCGGATAAGAGACGAAAACCTGCCCCTGATATCCTTTTTACACAATCAGTCAAGTGCTATTTTACGAGTCTAGATTATTGCACATAGGGTACAGTATGTCAATAGTGCAGCACCCAGGAAAGAAAATTATAAACAAGGTATAAGGACCTGACTTAATCTGTCAGTCTAAGACATTTGGCAACGTAATCTGTCATGTCTAACCAGTGTTGGAGTAAGTAAACTCGGTATTTTGAGGTCACTTAACAAAAGACTATAACGAAAACCAGTTCTTAGGCCCAGTTTTTGAGCGTGGTGGCTTGACTACTTCGGGTTTTGTCAATAAAGATTGGGTTGTGAATTTCTGAAGTGGATTTGTTTTCAAAAGTAACCGTCTCATGCCCTTAGAGTATGTCTACACTTGGGGTGATGTTCCCATCTCACACGGACATACTTGCTGCCTGTCCTATTGTGGCTATGCTGCTATGTTTAGTGCCCTAGCTCTCATGTATGGGAGCTGGGACTCTCACCCCCAGCTCATAGTGTAGACATAGCCTTAAAGTAAGTAATCCCATAGACAGGACATGGTTTAAGATGGGAGGAAGGGCTTTAACTCAAATAACTGACAAAATAGTTGAGAGGAAATTCAAGTGTTCTTCCCCTTCATTTGATGTCTGAGAACTGCCATTCCACATCTCTAGTCATCTAAGGAGATGTGTAGCGAAAACAAGGAATGCAAGACTTGCTACTGTAACTAAAATTGGAGAAAATCTTTCATGCCTTCATACAGCACAAAGGAGGGGAAAATACACAATCTTTATTCCCTTCAGAAGTCAGCTTTAATAGTCGGGTACCATCGCCTGTTTAAGTGTTTGCATGGTTCCCCTGCAGGTATGACTACTTTTTTGAACCTTATATTTAACTGGAAAGTAAGCCAGGCACATCTATTTTTCAGAAGACCAATAGAAAGAACCCCAAGCTTATTATTTAAATGGATTTTTTTTTAACCCATATCATGACTTTTGGGAGTGACTCATGATTTCTGCATGCTCGTTCTAATTGAATATAACTGCAGGGGTCTCCTGCTTTGTTTGAACTACTCCTGCTAGATGTGTGTTTTTTATTTTATTTTTATTTATTTATTTTTTTAAAGAAGAGTAGATAGCATCCCTTATTTGCCATCATTCAGGGAAATCTGTCACAGACTTAATATTTTTCCCTGCTGCTGTGGAAATCACACTCTCATCTATAAAACTGTGGCTGCCAGCTTGGTTCCATATCTTGTCTAAGTTAAGCACTGCCTGCCTTCCTCACTGGGGAAGGGTTAATGCTAGCTGTACGCAGAAAGGTCAAAGTTTGTTTTTTGACTGGGTCCTGGATGCTACTGCACTAAAGCAGGGATGCAGCAAGTAGCCCATCAAAATGAGCATCCTGGAAGTGATGCCTCCTGTTTTGTGTTTTTTTTTTTTCCCTTTTTGAATGGACAAGTCAATTTAAAAATTGACACTTCTGTCCAAGTGTTCTTACTTCTCAGTGTTAGAAGTAATGTGTAAATCACAGCTGGAAAAGCTAGGGAAATTTTTCCTGTTTCTTCACTTATTTTTGGTTACACAGACTGTGTATTTAGGTATTTTATAGATTCAGTTTTGTTTCTCATATACAGTTAGGTTCCCCTATTTTGTAATACCTCCATGCAGAGGGGAGCAATACACTAGAAAAGAAAGAGGAAGATGTCATTGTAAAACCAGAAAAACTGGCACTGGAAACTTGGAGTGCATGTAATGCTCTGAAATGCTTCTAATTGTATTTAATAATTGACTAGATTTCAGGTTGACGGTACTCCTTTTTATCTTCCTATCAGTTTTATTTTGTTTTGCCCCAAGATGCACTGGAGGTTCATATTTTCTATGCCTCTGCTCACACCCAGTGGACGAGCAGAACACTGAACTCAGCTCTTCATGAAATGTGAGGTGACAATGGGATCTTCTTGCAGCTCAAGTATTAGCTGGTATTCTTCTCTTACAGTGCAGGTCAGAAAAGATTGTTAAAATGTTACCGGTTGATGCCTTCACAGAGTAAATGTCAAGTGTTGGGTTTTTTTAAGCATTTTTTATTGATGAATTTGGTTAAAATGGTATGTTCTAGAACGTATGCAGTGTTGTAGCCCTGTCAGTCCCAGGATATTAGAGAGACAAAGTGAGTAAGTAATATTTTTTACTGGACCAACTTCTGTTGGTGTGAGAGAGGCAAACTTTTGAGCTTACACAGAGCTCTTCTTCACGTCTGGGAACTGTCTCAGGGTGCAAGTTTCTGAGACTTGAAGAAGAGCCCTGTGTAAGCTCGAAAGTCTGGGAAACTTACACCCTGAGACAGTTCCCAGACATGAAGAAGAGCTCTGTGTCAGCTCGGAAGCTTGTCTCTCTTGCCAACAGAAGTTGGTCCACTAAAATGTTACCTCACCCACCTTTTGTGTCTAATGTGCTAGAATAATTTTTGCAACAGAACTGTCAGTTGGCTACAGACTACATGAAGCCTTGAAGATGGCTGTGTAATAAATAGGTTTGTTTCTTTGATAGGACTCTTTGAGTATTAAGTTTTAGATGACTTTCTTCTAAAGTTCTGAGTTTGTGTTCTGGTCAAGTGAGAGGGAGGCCACTGGGGTGTTTGGTTTCTACCTTTGCTTGCCAAAAGTGTCTTGGTTACATGTACCTTAATTCTGAATACCTCAGTTAAATTATCTGCTGACAGATGAACAGATAATGGAGGATTTGAGGACACTGAATAAGGTAGGTAATAGCCGCCTTCTTTTCAATGCTGAGAATTAAGTTTCTCTAGATCAAGCTATCTCCATATCTGGCTAATGAGTTGCTCCTTTTCATAATGCTGGGAAATTGTCACTTATGTAGCTATCCCTACTCCACTGCTTAAGATACCCAGGCTTATCAAGATGGTGGTTCCTTCCCCCCGCATCCCATTCCAACAGGTTAGAATTAACCTTAATGCATCCGATGAAGTGAGCTGTAGCTCACGAAAGCTTATGCTCAGATAAATTGGTTAGTCTGTAAGGTGCCACAAGTCCTCCTTTTCTTTTTGCGAATACAGACTAACACGGCTGTTACTCTGAAACCTGTCCTTAATGAAATGGTATATATTTGATGTACTATTTGCACAAAACGCAGTATATCTGATCCTAATAAAGTAGGAGGAATCGGAAGCGTTTTTCCTCCATCTGGATTTACAGACACTGACACAAACTCCTGTCAGATCTCAGATCTTAAAACAGAAGTCACGTGTTTCCCTCTTTCTCTGTAATGCATCTCAGCTGTTTCATGTCATAGGATGCTGGCTGGGTGAGGTGGGAAGGTGTACCTCTGTATATAAAAGGTTTGTCTCTTCCAGACCTGTTATCTGTTTTGCCAGATCTCCATCAGGGTCCCCATATGGGCTTGTTAAAGCTATGCAAGATGATGGAGTGAGTTTTCAGTGTTCTCATCAATGAGGCCTATTTTAGAACAGTTTACTCCAAGCCTGAACAGAACACCCTGAAGATGAGGGGAGGGTGTGAAATGGAGTTTGGTTTTTGGTTTGTTTGTTTTGGTGAATTACTGGAAGTGAGAGGAGAACTTCATTTTCCAGATTTTGTCTCATGATGCTGATGATCTGTGTCGAGCTTCTTTACTGTTCGTGATTTAATGTTCTGGATTCTAGTTATAACTAATAACATTACTTACAATTTTACATTCCAGTTCTTTTTGAATCTTGCTTTTCATTTGTCACAATTCCTTTTTCAGACTAATGCTTTTATGATACCACAAGTTGCATTTCAAATGTCTAAAATTGCTTTGTTCCTCTCTTTTCTGGTAGCTTAAATCACCCAAGAGACCAGGTAAGTGCATGATGATATTAATATTGGGGTATAAATCATGTTCTCTCAAGCATACATGAATCTTGTTGGAGACTTGTAGCAGTCTTTAAATTGGAACTTCTTTTAATCTCTGTGGTTAGCCATCCAATGAGAATTACTGGCAGTTCTGCTGCTTCCAAACTGCCACCTTACTTTTTTATAAAACGAGCATTATGAATAGTGAAATATGATTGTGCAGGTGTCTGCCTGTTTAAATGTAGGATTCAGGAATCGACCAAAATGCTTTTGTAAGAGGGGTTTCATCTTCACTACATAGTGTATTGAGATGGCTCACCGAATTTTCTCGGGTGGGTGGGGCCACTTGACTTTCAGACTTGTGCTACACAATTCACCAGTGGGGTCTGGATATTTCTCTTGTGTTTATAGGTGGCTTTATTTCTGTGTTTTGGGTTTAGTTATATAACAAGAGTCAGTTAGAAGCTAATACAAGGGTCATTCTGTCTGTCTGCTACTTTTAACACTTTTCAAGCTCTTTGAGAGAAGCCTGGCAACAGCACTTTTACGTGAAAAGAGACGAGCACAGAGGTGAAATGACTAGCCCAAACAGAAGGCATTTATGTCAAAGCGGAAGTAAATTAGAGTTCCTCTGTTCATACCACACCTTTTTAGTCAGTGAAATTGCATTAACACCTCTGAAGCTAAGACTTATGCCTATAGTCAGTTTTCCTGTTGCATGTATATATGCTGATGTGCACATGCTAGTCTATATATACAATTTATTTCTTTTTCAGCGTCTCCTTCGTCTCCAGAACACCTGCCAGCCGCACCTGCAGAGTCTCCAGCACAGCGGTTTGAAGCTCGGATTGAAGATGGCAAACTCTACTATGATAAAAGATGGTAGGTTTAGATGGAATATGTGGCAGCTGCTGCTGTTAGTCTGAGCTCTGTAGCAACAAAAGAATGCAAAGAGAACTTGCTTTGGAAAAAGCATTTTAGAGGCAAAATGTGTTTCTGAGCAGGAGCTAGCCACTTATTACCTGTGCTGAGTGAATTAAAAGTGGCTATAGTTCTATACTGCAGGAGTGCTGACAGAAGTCTGAGTAATGGTTTGCTTCCCGCTCTGACTTTAGTGGAAGGTATTTATGGCTATGTAAGCTGCTGTCCTTGGGGCCCTGTTTTGTGCTACAACACTGAGGAAGTATTTTTATTAAAACTAACATTAAAAAAAGTAGTCACCATTAAATGCAGGCTACAATTGCAAATCCATTAAACTATTACCCAAATGTACTGGTGCTGATGCAGCGCTCTTCACGACATCGGCAGTTCTTAATTCAGCTTTATGGTACATTAGAATGTTACGCCACAAGGTGGCAGAATGTAGTAAAATATTATGAACCTGCAGAGTAGAATGAAAAATGTTTCTAATAACTAAAACCAAATAACCTTTAAAGATCAAACCCCCACACAAGAACCAACTTCAGAAATGATGATCAGATTTATCTCTGTAATTTTTATGGGTATATAGCTACTGAAGCCTCACGATACATCAGGGAAGATGTTCATTTTGTACAAAACTTATTTCCCTGGGTCTTCCCTTTTAAGCTTAATCCTATGAAATATGCAAGAGTGAGCAATCAAGGACGCAATCTAGTCCTTTAAAAATAGCAAGCAATTTATATGACTCTTCTAATATATGTATTACTTTGACTGTTGAGCCGTGTGTTGTAGATTAGTTTGGTGTAATGATAGCTCAGAAAACCAAGGGAAGTTGCTGTAACCTTCTCACTGAATGGGTGCCATGTGAAATGAGTTCTGCTCAAGATGAGCACCTAGAAGGTAGGTCATTTTCTCATCAGATTTACTGCCTGTTCTTTTTTTTAGCTATTAAGCAGAAGGCTTTAACTAAAAGTTCATAACCTAGCACAGCAGCAATTTTGCTGAGTTTGTTAAAGCAATTTTCCTGTTACCAATCCTCTGGTAGTGAAATTTCACTAAAGGTTTGGTATGTATGGTGGCAGTTAGCAATAGAAAGGAGCTTGAACTTGTGTGTGGCTGAAACTAGGTTTCAACAGACTGAGTCTTTTCACAAGTGTATTACGTTCTTTTTTTTTCTCTTTGTTTAAAACTACTATCCTTCCCTGTTTTTTCTGAAACCAGGATAAACTATAGGTATTAAACTCCACTCCCTAAAATTTCAAGCACACGGACACATCTGTAAAAGGTGTATGTCCTCCCTCTTAGAAACAGAGGCTGCTCTTGCATCTCTTAGTCAAGCAAAATTCCCACCAAATTCAAACTAAGGAATACACAGTTGGACCCCAGATGAGCTTCACAAAAGCATGAAAGGACTCTATAAAATCATATGTGGTTAGGACATATGGCATTGTAGCATAAATATTTTTCTCACCACATTCCATTGTCATGGGGTTTCATTGTCAAGGATTGTAATCATTGCCTTTTCCTGAGTTTTGTACTACTTTGTTTTACATTTTGCTAGAATAATTCTGCTCACATTTTGATTGATAGTAATAATGCCTCTGCAAAGTAGCTGATATTTTAAAATAACAAAGTAGCTTATGGTGGTGGGAGGGTAATTTTTTTTTTTTTTTCAAACGCATATTAAACTGAAGCTGCTCGTGTGCACCAAAAATAATGAACTCTGACAGCTCAGGAATGACTACATTTTATTCCTTCTGACTGGAGACATAAAGGACAGTCCTCTCAAAATAGTTAATGTTTAAGGCTAGAAATGGACTCCTTGAGGTTTTTGTAGCTACATTTGGCAAACTTATTTCACAAAATGGAGACTTAATAATAGGAATCCCAGCTGGATGTGGAATTAGTCTATTTTTTCCCTCAGCCATTTTGCCCCAATGCCTAAAACACTTGCTTGCAGCAAAAACACTTTTTTTTTTTCTTCTGTAATTTTAACTTTAGATGTGCATAGTATAATAAGTGAGAGAATTTCATAGCAGGGAATGGGAGAGGCTTCCATTATTGGCCACCAGTCTGAAGTCCAGTGTGCATCTCTGAGGCATTGGTTTGTATTCCATTTGTCCCTCAGACAGGAATCCCTTTGTCTTATTGAAAAACTTACTCACGAGAACAAGCTGAGACACTTCAGAATTTGAGTTAAATATTTCCTAGCAGAAGATGAAGTTTCAGCCAGCCTCAATGTGTGCTAGCTTTTATGGCAGTTTATTTTACCTAATAGAAAGGAAGAGTTCGCCCATTAGAACTATTTTCCTTCTCCCCTAGAAGCCAGCTTAAAAAATTCCCAGGTAAATTTTTTCCTAGTCCACCTTTCCCCTTCTATTTTTATCCCTTGTTCTCAATGGCTGTCTGACCACTTTGAGCGACATAGTCCTCTTCATCAACAAACAGGCAGCAGTAGTGCCTGGTTCCCCTTGCCACCCTGCTAGTCTCCATTAGGTCTGCTGTCTACCTAGTTTAAGGTTTTCTATAGTACCCATAGTTATGGGTCTTTGCCAGTGAGTGACCGCCTCTATTGATTAAAAGGTAGGTCATTCTCCAGACCCACTTCTTATCTTGGCAATAAGGGTGCCAATTGCAATGGTGTTTTTTGTGATGTGGAAGTGTGTACGTTAATTATACTAAGACACCAACGCACTTCATATAGACAATGAAGAGCTGTCAGATTGTAACTTCTGGTTACTACCAACCTGATAGTGAGGGTTATTCAGACCCTAGCACTGTGTTTTCAAGCAGGTGGTGGGGTCTGGGTTGTAATAACTTGAGTGCTTCCTGTTTACAAGTTGACTGTGCTGAATAAATGGTTACTATTAAGTTACCAAGGAACCAGCTGAAGTCCCTCCCTGAAAATGGGGATAGAGGTCTGAGATGTTTAACATTTTAAAATTAATTAATTTCCCTGTCTTTGTTTTGTTAACCCAATGTCTTCTGTTTTTAGCTGTTAAATACGCTTTGGCATTTATTTTTCCCATCTGAAGGGCGTAAAGCTGAGACTAGAATCTTCTTTGCTGCAAACAACCTGAAAATGCTGAGTATGGGAGCCAATCAGAACAGATTATAGAAGATTGTTGGAGATTTTCATATTTTATACTATGGCTATTGTGGAAATAACAGATTATGCAAATTATCGTACTCTAATGGCTATCAGCCAGTCAGAGTACAGAAAGTTGCATACTGAACAGTTGCTGGGGAAATAACTGCAATGATTCTGCAGCTCAGACACTGGATCTAAATGTCAGGCATGTCATAATAGGGGCAGAGGTGGAAATATAACAATGCTTCAGTAACTGTAGAGCATCTCTGTACTCCTGGCTAAAATTGTTCACTTAATTATACTGAAACAGATTATTTGCAGGTGATTCCTGCTTATGGGATAATAAAGAGACCTAGCATACTTTAACTACAGCATTAACAAGGAGAATCCTTAAGTGTGTGACATGCAGAAAGCTAACATTCAGGCTATGAAACCAAACACTCGAAAGCACTGCATTATCCTTTGGCATATGCCTTAGACAAAATAAGATAAGACCATATTTTATCTCATGTAATTTAAACAAAGCAACTTGTACAAGCTGGATTCAGCACATGTCATGTGGGATCGTATGGCTTCCTACTTATAATACAGACTTTGTCTGTAATTGACAACTTTGGTGGCATGAGAACTTAGGAAATGAGAAATCGAATATTAGACTTCAATAAATGTAATTTTCTTCCTGACTTTCTAAAACAGTCCCCTTTTTTCCAAGAGTCTGCTTTTTTTTCTTGTCCGCTCAGTGCCTATAGGGCAAGTGAGTATTTGTGTTTCATGGTAGTAACTGGCAGACTGTGTGGGAAGAGGGAACTTACAAACTGCTATCTTTGTTAGGTTGTCCAAGTGATTTTTTTAAATCAATGCACTAACTACAAAATCAAACTAAATCCATACCAACCTCAATCACATGTTTTACCATCCAGACATAACACCCAAACACTCATCACCTCTACAGTGTCATTTCTAACACATGATCACCCATTATGCACATATCTAGTTCTGCAAAATCACACTTCACAACTTTAATTCCACCCTTAGCAAGATTAAGCTGTTCTATCAAAACATAATAGAATGTCCCTGGTTTCTTTACTATCCACAGGAATCTGAGGTCGGTTTTTATTCTTGGGGAATTACATGTACTGAGATGTGTCTGTATCATGACAGGTGGAGGAGAAGCCATGTGAATTATGGTTGGCTTGGATTAATATTGATGTGTTGCCTGACTTGTTGTTAACTGCATTGATAGGTTGCTCAAATGCATTTCCTTAACTCCAAGTTAAAGCTTTTTGTGTAGCAATTTCCCTGTATCTTTTCCAGCATCAAGTTTAAATGTGATTAGAGTATCAGGTTTCCAGGATAGTAGCTCTGACTGACCTTATGACCCCTAATGTATGGGGGCTATCTTCCTGAATCCCTCTGCATGTTTTTGGGTGGGGAAGGTGAAAGTTAAGGGAAGATCTTGAAATAAGGGGTATTATGAAATGGGGAAGGGAGAGGCTTTTACACATGTTTAACTTGAAATTGTACCCCTTGCAGCACGGACAAAACTCCCTGTTTTGGTGTCTTTTACCCTCTTCCTCTTCCCCCCCCCCCCCCGCTTCCATATCCATCCCTATCAACTGCAGACCCCCTTCTAAACCTCTGGACCTAGGCATCTTTTGCGTCCCTGGTTCTCCTGACCCTGTTTGACCCCTTTCATGTGGCTGTACATCCTAAACCACTGCAGCCTTCTGCTTGCCCCTAGGTCTAATCTCTATTTGCCAGTTTGCTACACCCGTTTTATGCCTCCTGCTTTTTATTTCATGTGTAATGTTTTTCTCAAAAAACGTTAAGTGATGGGGGCAGGGGACTAAGCATGCAGTGAAGTGGGAGCATGGGACCTTGTGCAATCCTGAACATACAGGCAATGAATCTGCGGGCTTGATGTGCTACCAGTGGTCACTCGATTACAGACCTAAAAGTGGCAATTCTTCAACAAAAATACTTCAGAAGCAGACTCCAACGAGAGACTGCTGAATTGGAATTAATCTGCAAACTGGATACAATTAACTTAGGCTTGAATAGAGACTGGGAGTGGATGGGTCATTACACAAAGTAAAACTATTTCCCCATGTTTATTTCCCCCCCTCCACCCCCCACTGTTCCTCAGATGTTCTTGTCAACTGCTGGAAATGGCCCACCTTGATTATCACTACAAAAGGTGTCCCGTCCCCGTCCCCCCCCGCTAGTAATAGCTCACCTTAAGTGGAAAGAGAAAAGGAGTACTTGTGGCACCTTAGAGACTAACCAATTTATTTGAGCATAAGCTTTCGTGAGCTACAGCTCACGATGCATCCGATGAAGTGAGCTGTAGCTCACGAAAGCTTATGCTCAAATAAATTGGTTAGTCTCTAAGGTGCCACAAGTCCTCCTTTTCTTTTTGTGTATACAGACTAACATGGCTGCTACTCTGAAACCAGTCAGCAATTAATCCATCTGTAGGACCAATGAGGTGGTTTAGCACATAGATTCACTGGCAAGTCTCAGGAGCTCCAATGATGTTGCAAGTCACCCTTGTTGCTTAGTCAAGGTAGCAGGGGGCAAGAAGAGGGAGAGATTTGCAGTGTCACAGCAATTCCTAATGTTTGCCAGAATGGAGTTGCACCGAGTCTCCCTCTGATCAACCTCGGGTGTGGGTGCGGCGGGGTGAAGGGATTTGAGTTCTGGGCTAGGTACTACACTTGTAGCACAGAGGACTAACGGGGGCTGAGATCCTGACAGAGAAATGAGCTGGGTCTTGATTACAAAACTGGCAGTGAAACCCTGATGCTTCAGCACTTCCCTACCTGCGTAAGGTACAAGTTGCGTTAGTGAAAAAGCACGGTCTTTTTGGTTTCATTGGGTGAAATGCAAGCAGTTGTGACGCAGTGTTAATAACATTAGTTTTTTTTAAATGGCATATCTGATACATTTCCTAGAATTCCCTACAGTCCAGCCATTTATTAGTCTGTATACTTCAGATAATTTTAGATGAGTTTGTTTTAATACTCTATAGCTATTGAAAGATGGAAGCAAATCAGTTGCAGGGAAAAAAAGCACTCTGCCCTAAGAGTAAATATTTGTCAACTTTTGGTGTTACACATTTTTATGTAAGTAAGAAATCCTATTAGAACCTTAAATATACAATTACTGACAACTCCCTATAATTAGAGTGGGGTTGGGGGAATCTGCAGTTTTCAGCTTATTGTGTTTGTAATGTTTGAGTGCAGTGGTGGGGAGAGAAATGGGTTTAAATTCTTAGCTATGTAATGATGTGAATATGCTGAGAAAAGCGAGAATCCTTTGTTACTTTCCTCATGCATATAGAATCCGTGTGGTTCATAAATCAAGCTACTCATGACTTTCTAAATCTTCAGAAGAGTAGATGGGATCTCCTGGGCAGCTAACAGATTAATGCTTTGCTTTTTGCAGGTACCACAAGAGCCAGGCTATTTACCTGGAGTCAAAAGAGAACACTAAGATCAGCTGTGTGATCAGCTCTGTAGGAGCCAACGAGGTAATGGGTTTCTTTAAGTTTTGGTCAGAATGAGAGAATGACAAGGGTCAGTGCAGGCAAGCAAGCAAACTTGTGTCTGTCAATTGGGCTTAAAAACTCATAATCACAATACAAATAACTTGGCAGAGTAGCAGCCTCTTCCTTTGGGGAAAGATGTGGTCATGTGGTATTTCAGAAGCTAAATCTGAGGTGCAGCTGAATTACTGTTTGATTCAAAATCTTCATAATTGTGCTGCCAGTGATGCTTGCTCTGCAGTGTTAGTGGGTTTTAATACTTGTAACTTTAATAGTGTGGATTGATCTCTTATTGACGCACACATCTTTAAACGAATTGATTTTCACATATCCCTCTTCTGTGTTGCTCACAGATGATTTTTGGTGCACAGTCAACCTGTTAAAATTGGATTATGATATACTCTAGTCCTCTGATTTCCTCCTGGCTACCTTCAGTGACCATTCCCTCAAGAAATAACTGCAGAATGAAAAGTTTATTGACTGAGGGTTTGAGGTGAGCCTCCTAGTGGGAAAAGAAGTTCAGTTCACCTTTGGCTCCAGAGCCAACTCTGTCTTAAGCTCCTAGGTGGAATGAATATTAATGGTCTTGGATCAGTCTTGATGGCCAAGAATCCACATTACAGAACCGTTGCACATAATTGGTTGTCTCTGCTAAGGAGATGCAAATGATTGACCTGGTGGGAGACTTAAATACCTTTCACATGTAGATATGGTGGTCTTGACCTGCCCAAGCTACTCAGTTGACGGCATCAGCAGGGATATTTGCATTGTATTTCCCTAGCTGTGGATTGAAAATAATTTCCATTACTTCTAGTCTCTAAACTTTCCAGGAACAAATATTTACTCTCATTTGACATAAAACACTAGGGACCCAGAAGAGGATGAATTAAAGGCTCGTCGCTAAGTTTAGGTGTAGGTAGGGTAGTCCAACCTTACTGCTAACCTCGTTATATATGTTACAGGATCTCTAGGCTGCCCATTAAATTAAACCAAGATCCTAAGTCGTCTTTTAAAAGAAAACAGCAGGCACAATCTCCTGGAAGTTCACTTGCTGGGAAGCATTTATCTCAAACTTTGGGCTGCATCTGACAGTGACTGAAATTGGCATTTTGGAGCTTGCCTTGTACAGACATCTCATGGTATCAGCAAAATGTGGGTGGTGATTGAGACTAACCTGTTACCCTACCAATAAGAAAGCAGGCTAGTAACTTCTCAAAAGTTAGTCAGTTTTTGCAGCAACAGGATGAACGCTGATGGTAAACCAGACACTGGTTCCTCATACAGCAGCTGTCTGTACAGCAGCATGGTGACTGCCAGCTGGTGGGTAGTTGCCAATTTGAAATGACTACTGGCTTAAGACACAATTAAGGGCCAAAGTTGAGCAACTTCTTAAATGTTCTCCTGGTTTTATCAATGTAAATTGGGTTTAAAATTACTGGCTGTTAGTAACTATACATACATGCCTGTTCATGTGTCCTACTCTTTGGCTGCTATAGATACAAAGTTTTTTATGTGTTTGAATAAGTTTGGCTTCAGGTTCCATGGAGCATAGAAAATTCCTTCCTCTGGCTCAGAAAAATGGTTGTCTTTAGCAGGTGTGAGTAGATTGTTGATGATAATTAATGCCTTCCACAATCTAATGGGCTGAAAGGAGGGCAGTGTATGTTGGGGATAAAGTCAACAGTGTTCACAAGTCACTTAGGTACTAGAAAAAGGCAAGTCATTTGGCTAATGCTACTTGATTTGCTGATGAGGAGTTGGGATGAGGTTAGTGGGGGTTAAGAGGCATGTGCATCTAGGATTGATATGAATCAAAACCTAAAACAAACTAGGTATTTAAGCAATGCCAATAGGAGAATTGTGCAAAGAAAAACAATTGGCAAGCAACATGAAAACTAACTTTTCAATAAAATAGATAATGGAGCTGGGATTTCTTAAATTCAGTAGCCTCCGTGAACCAAAAAAGTACCTCTAGTGTGGGTATTAAAGGGAAAATATTTCATCAATAAAGTAAATTTACTATATGGGAAATGCTCTCTTATAACCGTGAGCCATAGTCATGGAGCAATCGTTTGGCTCTATGGTTGATTATTTAAATGAACTTGTAACAAAATGCCAACAGATGTATTATAACACATACAGAAATGGCTAATTTGATTAAGGTTATTACAGTTAACATTAAGGATCTTAATGTTGTAAATGATAAAAGGCTTGAGCTGAAATTAAAGAAAATCTCTTGCAAAAGGATAATACAGACTTGCATTTTCTTAAAGTGGAACAAGAGCGTTCTTTCAGAGGCAGCTGGCTTCAGCACTGGATTAGAAGAAAGAGGGAAATGGATTGATTTTTTTTTTCCCTCCAGTGTGGCATTTCAACTGCAAACAATGGAAAGGCAAGGAAGGTACTTCTGAAAGGAACCCTAATGGGAAAAATGTGTGTACTCGAATCTAGATATACTCTTAATCCGGAGCAGATAGAATTCTTTAAGGGCTTAGAGAAGGTGAACTTGTAAAACTGACAAGTGTGATAACGTTTCTATGGAAAGCTGAATTTTTGGAAGTAAATTCACCAGTTATAAAGTTAAAACACTTAAATGTTAGTGGAGATGTTGGAGACACTCCCCCAGTGAAAGGAATAATGTAATCTAGTATACAACAACCACCTTGTGGCTGGTGGAAGTCAATGGCTAAGAAGATACCTATACCTGAAAGTCAACACTAAAATGTGAATTGGTCAAGACTAAATTTACAAACCTTTGTAATGGAAAATATTGTACTCTAGTCATAATTGCAGCAATATTAAGATTTTTTAACAAGTTTCATTCTTACTGAAAACACATTTAAAAAAAAAAAAGTTAAAATGATAAAACCAGGCGGACATTTGCTCAGATTCAGTTTTTAAAGGCATCTGATCTGGGTTCCAGAATCCTTGATAATGACTTTGATTTTAAAGACTTTATTTTCCAAATGGCTATTTCTGTAGATGCAATTTGTAGTCCTTTTAAATAGATTATATATCTGTAGTAGTAAGAATTTTTCAGTGTAGGTGTTTAAAAAGCAAGCCCTTTTATCTCCAGATACAACTTATAATTGAATAGTGTGAGAAATGCTTCACTGAACAATATCAGGGCAAGCTTTTCATTTGACTAATAGTTACTTGTCTGAGCAAATCCCAGGACAAGTAATTTTATGATCTGTGGCTCTAGAGAGACTTATTCTTGATTAGGTAAAACCAAATGCAAGCTTTCTGTTATGAGCTGTCGCAGTAGAGAATTTCACCTGCCTGATGCTTAGGAGGAGCAATTACTTTTTCTGATAGAGAGTTGAAAGCAGAGAGAGGGATAAAGCCGGTGATTGGATACATTATACCGAGGTGGCTTTTAAAAAGCCATGTTTTCTATTCTTCCTAAGAAAGCAGGGAGAGCTGCAGAAAGCAACTTTTATGGCAGACGTTAAGGATCCCTGAAAGATTTTCTCCAGTATTTCTAATCTTGGCGGGTCTCCGTCTTCTCTCTCTCTCTCATGCAGATTTGGGTGAGGAAGACCAGTGACAGCACAAAAATGAGGATCTATCTGGGACAGCTACAGCGAGGGGTTTTTGTGATCCGCCGGCGATCAGCTGCATGACTGTCTGACTCTCTTCCTTGATCTTTTTTAAAAAAGAACCCTCTTACAGGGAATAGCAGTCTATCCACCCAGCCATAGCAACAGAGATGCTGTTATGGCCGCCTGAGAGACCGTTTGTGGCTGGCCACATCATCCCAATAGTCCTTAAGTCTCTAGTGACACTCAAGCACTGCCCTGGAGCCCTGGACTTCTTCTGGAGTTTTCCATAAAGCTTCTCCAAGCTTTTTTCATATTTCAGGAGACTATATTTAAGAAGACTCTGCATCATATTTTTCTCATCTTTATATCTTTGTACCGTGAAGCGTGTGTGTACATTGAAAACAACATAACTTAAGTTTTGAATCGGGGGGGAAAAACCAGTTATTTTCCTTGTTGAAAGCTAGTTCTGTTTCTTCTGCAAAGCTTAGGGTGCTGAGCAGGAGGAGACTAATCCAACTAGCTTTCTCTATAACAACATGACATCGATTCTTTTGGATGAGCTGTTGAAAGATTTGCCCGTGCAATGAGGATTTTTTTAGGAAAGTGTGAAAAGTGTTCTGGAAACCTGTAACATGCTGATATTCCGGTTGATTTTGACCTGGTTAAACACAGTCTAACTTGGTGAATCCAAAGCTTCCTTTCTTGTCACATTAAAAACCCTTCAGATGAACAAACTGTGTGTGTCTATACTGCTACACTACATTTCCATACGTAGATGAGTATAACCCAAAGGATTAACTGGACTATGCATGAGGCAGTGAGATTATATGAACAGCACAGTATAAACACTGATAATTTTACCTTTCAGTACTGTACATATAAGTTCCTTGAAATTGATGACTCGACTAATTAATGGGTCATACTGGAACAGTTGATGGTAACTTAGATATTAGATCTTTGCTCTCGAAAGGGCCTGATACAAAATGAAAAGCTGCATTGCTAGGCCTTGACAGTGTACATGAAGCCTAAATTCCCCAAATGTAATACAAAAGTTTCTCTTTCAAGGGTGTTGTAGTTGATAGAAACCAAGATGAGTCTCTACAGTGTCCTCTTTGGAAGTGCTGTAATTCTACAATATTTAACTGACAGTGGCATCCATTCAAGTGTGTGTAAACCACTTGGGTTCCTGGTAGCTATTTTCTAAAAATACTTGATTCACAAGTGGGCACTGATGGCCAGAGACCACCATGAAATGTGTTGATGCATCAACATGAACTATACAACAGATAGGAAAGAGTATCAAATTTCTGCCCTCGAAATGAATGAAACTGAGGTCTCCACCTGAAAATGTTGGGCAATGAGTTATAGTATGCTCCTTTTGTCAGTGTCTGTCACTTGGGGGTGGGAGAATTGGGGGGGAGGGGTCTTTAGTCTTGCTTTTAAAATGCCTTCTTGTTCATGATTAGGTTTGTATTTCCTTCATATCTGGGTAAATGAAATATTTCAGATTACCTTTCTCCATTCCTTTTGTTTACTACAGTTGGGTGGGAGTGAAGTCCCAGTAATGAATCTGTGCATACACACTTGGGTCTTGGGTCCATGGTGGAATCTTAAGGTATGCCTACACTTACCAGTAAATCGACACTGCTGCAGTCGATGCAGCGAGTGTGGATTTAGCGGGTCTGGTGAAGACTCGCTAACTTGATGGGAGAGCACTCTCCCATTGATGTGTGTACTCCACCTCCCCAAGAAGCGTAAGGGAAGTCGACAGGAGGCACTCTCCCGTCAACACAGCACAGTGTAGGCACCACGGTAAGTGCATCTAACTATATCAACTTCAGTTACATTATTCTGATGATATGTCTGGGGGGAGAAAGCAGAAGGAGACTCCGCTGGTTGGAAGGCATGAGATGCACTGTCCTGAGATGGGGGGTTCCACGACCACCACTCCCAAGAGAAGGAGGCGGGTGGTGGTGGTCGGGGACTCTCTCCTCCGGGGGACTGAGTCATCTATCTGCCGCCCTGACCGGGAAAACCGAGAAGTCTGCTGCTTGCCGGGGGCTAAGATTTGCGATGTGACGGAGAGACTGCCGAGACTCATCAAGCCCCTCGGATCGCTACCCCTTCCTGCTTCTCCGCGTGGGCACCAATGATACTGCCAAGAATGACCTTGAGCGGATCACTGCAGACTACGTGGCTCTGGGAAGAAGGATAAAGGAGTTTGAGGCGCAAGTGGTGTTCTCGTCCATCCTCCCCGTGGAAGGAAAAGGCCTGGGTAGGGACCGTCGAATCGTGGAAGTCAACGAATGGCTACGCAGGTGGTGTCAGAGAGAAGGCTTTGGATTCTTTGACCATGGGATGGTCTTCCATGAAGGAGGAGTGCTGGGCAGAGACGGGCTCCACCTTACGAAGAGAGGGAAGAGCATCTTTGCGAGCAGGCTGGCTAACCTAGTGAGGAGGGCTTTAAACTAGGTTCACCGGGGGAAGGAGACCAAAGCCCTGAGGTAAGTGGGAAAGCGGGATACCGGGAGGAAGCACAGGCAGGAACATCTGTGAGGGGGGGGCTCCTGCCTCATACTGAGAATGAGGGGCGATCAGCAGGTTATCTCAAGTGCTTATATACGAATGCACAAAGCCTTGGAAACAAGCAGGGAGAACTGGAGGTCCTGGTGATATCAAGGAATTATGACGTGATTGGAATAACAGAGACTTGGTGGGATAACTCACATGACTGTAGTACTGTCATGGATGGTTATAAATTGTTCAGGAAGGACAGGCAGGGCAGAAAAGGTGGGGGAGTAACACTGTATGTAAGGGAGCAGTATGACTGCTCAGAGCTCCGGTATGAAACTGCAGAAAAACCTGAGTGTCTCTGGATTAAGTTTAGAAGTGTGAGCAACAAGAGTGATGTAGTGGTGGGAGTCTGCTATAGACCACCGGACCAGGGGGATGAGGTGGATGAGGCTTTCTTCCGGCAGCTCGCAGAAGCTACTAGATCGCACGCCCTGGTTCTCATGGGTGACTTTAATTTTCCTGATATCTGCTGGGAGAGCAATACAGCGGTGCATAGACAATCCAGGAAGTTTTTGGAAAGCGTAGGGGACAATTTCCTGGTGCAAGTGCTAGAGGAGTCAAATGGGGGGGAGCTTTTCTTGACCTGCTGCTCACAAACCGGGAAGAATTAGTGGGGGAAGCAAAAGTGGATGGGAATCTGGGAGGCAGTGACCATGAGTTGGTTGAGTTCAGGATCCTGACACAGGGAAGAAGGGTAAGCAGCAGGATACGGACCCTGGACTTCAGGAAAGCAGACTTCGACTCCCTCAGGGAACGGATGGGTAGGATCCCCTGGGGGACTAACTTGAAGGGGAAAGGAGTCCAGGAGAGCTGGCTGTATTTCAAGGAATCCCTGTTGAGGTTACAGGGACAAACCATCCCGATGTGTCGAAAGAATAGTAAATATGGCAGGCTACCAGCTTGGCTTAACGGTGAAATCCTAGCGGATCTTAAACATAAAAAAGAAGCTTACAAGAAGTGGAAGGTTGGACATATGACCAGGGAAGAGTATAAAAATATTGCTCGGGCATGTAGGAATGAAATCAGGAGGGCCAAATCGCACCTGGAGCTGCAGCTAGCGAGCGATGTCAAGAGTAACAAGAAGGGTTTCTTCAGGTATGTTGGCAACAAGAAGAAAGCCAAGGAAAGTGTGGGCCCCTTACTGAATGAGGGAGGCAACCTAGTGACAGAGGATGTGGAAAAAGCTAATGTACTGAATGCTTTTTTTGCCTCTGTCTTCACTAACAAAGTCAGCTTCCAGACTGCTGCACTGGGCATCACAACATGGGGAATAGATGGCCAGCCCTCTGTGGAGAAAGAGGTGGTTAGGGTCTATTTAGAAAAACTGGACGTGCACAAGTCCATAGGGCCGGACGAGTTGCATCCGAGAGTGCTGAAGGAATTGGAGGCTGTGATTGCAGAGCCATTGGCCATTATCTTTGAAAACTCATGGCGAACGGGGGAAGTCCCGGATGACTGGAAAAAGGCTAATGTAGTGCCAATATTTAAAAAAGGGAAGAAGGAGGATCCTGGGAACTACAGGCCAGTCAGCCTCACCTCATTCCACGGAAAAATCATGGAGCAGGTCCTCAAAGAATCAATCCTGAAGCACTTACATGAGAGGAAAGCGATCAGGAACAGTCAGCATGGATTCACCAAGGGAAGGTCATGCCTGACTAATCTAATCACCTTCTATGATGAGATTACTGGTTTTGTGGATGAAGGGAAAGCAGTGCATGTATTGTTTCTTAACTTTAGCAAAGCTTTTGACACGGTCTCCCACAGTATTCTTGTCAGCAAGTTAAAGAAGTATGGGCTGGATGGATGCACTATAAGGTGGGTAGAAAGTTGGCTAGATTGTCGGGCTCAACGGGTAGTGATCAATGGCTCCATGTCTAGTTGGCAGCCGGTGTCAAGTGGAGTGCCCCAGGGGTCGGTCCTGGGGCCGGTTTTGTTCAATATCTTCATAAATGATCTGGAGGATGGTGTGGATTGCACTCTCAGCAAATTTGCGGATGATACTAAACTGGGAGGAGTGGTAGGCTGGAGGGCAGGGATAGGATACAGAGGGACCTAGACAAATTGGAGGATTGGGCCAAAAGAAATCTGATGAGGTTCAATAAGGATAAGTGCAGGGTCCTGCACTTAGGACGGAAGAACACAATGCACAGCTACAGACTAGGGACCGAATGGCTAGGCAGCAGTTCTGCGGAAAAGGACCTAGGGGTGACAGTGGATGAGAAGCTGGATATGAGTCAGCAGTGTGCCCTTGTTGCCAAGAAGGCCAATGGCATTTTGGGATGTATAAGTAGGGGCATAGCGAGCAGATCGAGGGACGTGATCGTCCCCCTCTATTCGACATTGGTGAGGCCTCATCTGGAGTACTGTGTCCAGTTTTGGGCCCCACACTACAAGAAGGATGTGGATAAATTGGAGAGAGTCCAGCGAAGGGCAACAAAAATGATTAGGGGTCTGGAACACATGACTTATGAGGAGAGGCTGAGGGAACTGGGATTGTTTAGTCTGCGGAAGAGAAGAATGAGGGGGGATTTGATAGCTGCTTTCAACTACCTGAGAGGTGGTTCCAGAAAGATGGTTCTAGACTATTCTCAGTGGTAGAAGAGGGCAGGACAAGGAGTAATGGTCTCAAGTTGCAGTGGGGGAGGTTTAGGTTGGATATTAGGAAAAACTTTTTCACTAGGAGGGTGGTGAAACACTGGAATGCGTTACCTAGGGAGGTGGTAGAATCTCCTTCCTTAGAAGTTTTTAAGGTCAGGCTTGACAAAGTCCTGGCTGGGATGATTTAATTGGGGATTGGTCCTGCTTTGAGCAGGGGGTTGGACTAGATGACCTCCTGAGGTCCCTTCCAACCCTGATATTCTATGATTCTATTCATGTAACTGAAGTTGCGTAAGTTAGATCGATTTACTGCAGTAGTGTAGACTAGCCCTTAGAGATGAGCATCTGATAACTAGCTGTGAGACTGAGTCATTTTACGTGTTATGTTTGGAGTCTCTGCCACCTCTGCACCTTTCCCAAGGTGAGAATGGGAGGAAGTCTCTTGCCCACTTCTCGAAGGTGTGCTATCCTCACTGCAAACGCAGTCAGATGGAAAGCAGCAGGCTCTTTGAATTCAGTTAACAGCATGCTTAATGCAATGCTCTGCTTCTGAGAGACAGGT